TTTTACGCGAGTATTTCACTGAACTCGAGGGGGATTTTTAACAGGTATATCTTTGTATATTTATCTATCTTTGCCTCCGTGTACGTGTGAATTGACGGAAGTATCTGCTAGCAAATATAGTCTGCTAAAATCTTACGATCTATTTTAAGATTGTGAATGAACCTTAGATTGCTGCTAAACACATATAATCCCTTAGACATATACTGTTGACCAAGTCTGGGACTAGGGGTAGATCTAGCCAGGTCTACTCTGAACGTCATGACTCAATGCGAGCATCTCCTTACCCTTTTGTATCAGACATAAACCGTTGCCCAAATCTGAGACCAAGATTAGATCCAGCTGAGTCCTCTCTGAACCTCATGACTCCACGGGAGGGTCTCCATTAACCTTTTCGTCCTCAGTCTCTGTATAAATCATTCCAACTCAATTCTAACACTATACCCTGGTTTCGGTTGTGATAGAGTTTATTTTCTTGCTAATAGCTGGTATAGTGCTGTGTTTTGGATTTAGTATGAGAATAATGTTGATAACACGCTGATGTTTTAGTTGTTGCTAAGTAGTGTTTACACTAGCCAAAGACTTTTCAGCTTCCCATACTCTTTTCCTTTGTATGCTTCATCCGTGTAGTAAGTGATGGAGTGAACCTTGCCATCGAACTCTGTTAAGTTGTGCTTTTATAAATTTCTATTAAAATCACTTTTTGCTAATAACTCATTCGCAACAGATATGACCTATATAATGTTGCAGATATTTTTCAGCGCGACGACATAATGCTTGGTGATGAAGCAATTAATAAGAGTTAACCTTCATTATAAATTTGTCTACTTTGCATTCTAAAAGCATTTCTCATCTTCAGAAAGCATAAACTTGACTCCGTTAAATCTCACAAAAACTCTGTCAGGTAGTTACTAGTCTATTAATAATAAAAATACGCCAACCGCTCTACAGAGAAAGTAAATAACATTGTTACCTACTTCTACAGAAATCAGCAGAACATTGGCTAATATGTAAATAATACTATGTAATATACCTGCCTTACAAAAAGTATTTCCCAAAACGTAAAATCATGTACTACAGAATTCATCCAGGGAAACGCACAGGAAGGACAAACAGCAGTGACTGAATTGCTCATCTAAAAGAACAGAAACACTATGTAGGATTCAATGGGGAAAATACTGGAAGCCACATCACTGTTATCCTAAGATACCTCTTAGCAGTATTAGAAAATAATATTTTTTACAGTTCTGATTGTTTCTCATGCCTGAATTTTATTTCCCAGTTACATCTTATTTAAAAAAAAAAAAAAAAAAAAAATTATTATCACCTATTTTCTGTCTTTGTAACTACAGTCTGGTTTTCTCTGTATCATTTGTATTTAGTGGAGACTATAGCAAGAAGCAATTGTTTGTTTGTTCTAAATAAACTAAGGCGGCCAGTTTTTTCTTGTCTACTGACCATCTGATTCTGCTGTATCAGGGCACACAGTAAAAACATTAGAGTCTTCTGATGAGCTGATTTGTAAACAGTAGCAAAACAGCTGTTTAGCAGTAATCCCATTACCTATAGAGCAGATCTCATTCCTCACAAATCTGAAATTCAAGACAAGGATTGTTACCTTTTTTGGTAACTTCTTAATTTTTTTTTCACTAGGTTGTAATTGTGCCAAAGTTATTACCCTACTTGTCATTAAATGCGTATGTTTGGTATCAGTCACATTTTGTATAAATATTTTGGTATATATGCAACAGTGAGTACTGTTGTTTATTTAGCAGGTGAAATTTCAATCAAAGACTATAATAAAATTCCTGCTTTGTGTTCTATGAGACCTTAGAAGTCTCATTACAGGACTATATTACAAAGCAGAGATTATAAATTAAATTTAAAATTTAAAATTCCCCATGGACTTTTGTAACAAAACTACCTAGTATCTACTGAATTTAACCAGTGATAATTGCATACTGCCTACAAACTACTTCTGTTTCCAAACTCTGTATGTATGCGTCTCATCTAAGAGAGAAGTAAGCTTCTTTACTGTGCAAAATGATTCCTATATAGTTTATGAGTCCTTTGGGGACTTTATTGACTGAAAAGCAAAATGAAATGTGAGATCAAACTTGCTGGTGTGTTGGTTGTTTCTCTTCTTTAGTAAGTGGAGTTTGTAGAAATAATTTTTATGCATACATTCTAGCTGCTTCAATAGTTAAAATTCTACAGCAAGGCTCTCCTTAGTATTAAAGTGATGTAGTGCAATCCTCAAAACATACATAATCATATGTTAATTTTAACTTCCCACCTAAATGTTTAATAATCATATGGAAGCATGTTATTCCACAGACATAGTTCATGAGGCAACATGTATAAACATATATAAATGCAAAGCAGATTCCATGTATTTATCTATTTTGGAGAAAGTTAAAAAGTATACACATTTGCTATTTTAAGAGCTGAAACTACATCTTTTAACAAAATCTAGCTGCTTTCATTTTGTACATGCATTTAATTTTATCTAGAAACTTTTTCACATCAGGAGTAGAACAACTGTAGTTTCTCATTATGTTTGCTGCCAGAATCTATGCTTGGTTGCTCAACTAAAGACCTTATATTGCTAATTACTACCACATGCCCATATCCCAAGCAAAGGAAAACTTATTGGTTCTGACAATCCATTCTCTCAACACTGAATTTCAAATGAAAACTTAAAATTTGGCCAAACATAACATTTCATCAATCTTGTTCTACTGACTGCAAAAGCAACATCAAACAAGGGGTGCTAATGGCTTTTTACTGTGCAGTTCCCAAGCTTAGATTCTCTGATGAAAGACACACATGAGCAATGGACATCTTTAAACTATTTAGTAGTTAATAATTGAACCAGAAAACAATGCATAAAGTAAATCGAACAGTTTGTATGCTGATGACAGAGCGGAGTTTCAAACTACAAGTTATATGGGCAGTAGAGATCAGCAGAGAAAGCACTGACAACAGAGCGAGCTGAAAACAAACAGATAGTGCATATAAATAAAGACAAAAAGAAAAGGTGAAAAAATAAAATTAAGCACGCCCCAAAGCTAGCAGAAGCCTGTAATCTGGAGTTGAGCTTTTCAGGATGTAGGGTTCTGACTGAAGATCAGGTCCAAGTTTAGAAACATCTCAGCAATGCTGGGTACTAGTGACAATGTAGAAGGGGAGAGACTAAAACTCTGTATGTAAAGTAGTTTTTAACCATGTTCCCCTCTGCTATAACTCCTTTGGAGCTTCAAAAACAGAGGTGTAAGTTCTGTGTTTGAAAAACTTCTCTTTTTGAGAAACCAAGTATGAATACAAATATGAAACTGAGTAGGCCTCTGTCACAAATAAACATTTTGGGAAATTAATGATACTACTCTGTCTCAGAAATAAATGAAGGCATTTTGTTAATCTGGATAAGTGAATTATGATGAAAGTTTCCAACATTAGTGTTTACAGTAAAAAAAAAAAACAAAACAAACAACTTCAGACATTTGAGGGTGTCTCAAAAAATGAAGGTATTGAAGTTTTCAATTTTGTCATCTAATTGCTTGAATATTATTGAACATAAAATAGTATAAACTATAACTAAAGAAAAAACTTTGCTTTATCTACCCCGTGATGTAAAACAGTACTCTAGAATTAGCTCTGTGGGACATTTACTGCCTTTCTGCTCCACAGAGACGAGAAACAACTTGATAAAACCATAATCCGTATTTATGAAATCATGCATGGGTGATTATTTGAAAGGAATAAAGTAAAAAACATATCTTCTTAAAGTAAGGAGAGGGACAATTAGATGCGTTGCTTGCAGTACCTTCGTTACGGTATGTGGAAAGGATTCTATCTGACTAGTCTTTTAGGACAAATATATCTCTACCAGCGAATATCACAATGATATGTAATGAAACAAAAGATGGCAACACTAAAGGTGATATAGAGGAGAAACTACTATATTGCCAAGTACATCTAGTTCATTAAAGGCTATATCCCAGCAGGTCTAGATGCTGGGAATGCCAGAAAGAGCTGGTTTTAACTTGGTCAAGAAAACAAGCAGACTTTCAATTGAAATGTAATGAGCTAATGTGATCCAATAAAATTTAATTTTTAATACCAGGTAAAAATAGTGGGTTTTACAGGTTTGGGTTTTTTTCATGCTATATTGATACTAAGGCTACTACTTGCTCTTAGAATAGGTTTTATATCGTGTGTGGAAGAGAATCACTTTAAAATCCCTGGTCATAGATCCTAAAATCACGAGTGTTTGCAATATTCATACGAAGTCACTAGGAGCTGCATGAGATCTGAATCTGCTGTTTGAACAATGAGAAACAGCACTATCAGACTTCTGACAAGAGTCAGTCTAATGGAATAACCCGATCAACATAAATTTCGTATTTTGCACTCCAGTAAGCCCAAGTCTTCTAAAGAACTGACTTGTTGGAAAATCATGTGAATTTTCATTGTCACTTAGTTAAGAGATGACCACATGATAATCTGATGCCCGAAACTGTGAAGTGACAAGACAACCTTGTTCCAGAAGCTAACTGCATATGCAATAGCAGCATTTTTTATAAGATATGTCACTGTAGTCTTAGTGGTATCCAGGTTCTTTTGAAGTAGGGACAAAATGTTGTGACTTGTACCATAGCATAGCCCAGGTCTCTAATTGTAGTGTGACAACTCTCCAGTGGTAACAGCTGATGTCAAAGCATACAGCCTTACAAGCTGTGAGTCAGCTATTACCACCTTCAGGGGCTCTTTGAAGTCACACAGCCACACCTGGTCTTTTTTGACTTACTTTCTGCCTCGGGTTGAGTTAAAAGTCCCGCCGTATTTCTTCCGATTAAGGATGAGAGCAGCAATTTCTGGCACGTAGCGAGCAAACATTGCCTACATGCATGAAACAAAAACACAAAAAAAAAAAAAAAGAAAATGGCATGCAGAGAGTGTTCTACTGCAGCAGAGGCAGCAGAGCCTCTTGGGATACTTACTTTCTTCCACTAACCGCACTATAGGAACCACCATATTTCTTGCGGTTTCCTATTAACTCTATGATTTCAGGGACGTAGCTGGCAAACATGGCCTAAGAAGAAGATAGGAGACAGAAGAAAAGACTAAAAAGAGAGGCCAAAGAAAGGGGGATGATGAATATTTTCAGAAGATATATATCTTTAAGATCTGAAAATGCAAAAAATTAGATCTATGAAGTTGTTTAAAAAGAAAATTTAAAAAATGTAAAAGTTCTTATCAAATAAAACAAGAGGACTTAATGTAAAAGTTGGTGTTGGAGAAGGTGCACACTTTATAAATTAAGAAAATGGTCAAAAGAGGAAAAATAGGCATACAAAACAAAACAAGAACAAAATTAATTCAAACTGGTATCTAATCATGAAATGCAGTTATATCTAGTTCTTCCTGAAGAAGGAAGAGGAAAAAAAACCTATCCAAGCTCCACTGCAAAAAACAAAAACAAGTATTATCATTACTGTTACGTTTCTATTTTAAAAGACAGACTTTTTTCCCCCATGATTAGGATTCAAAAGAAGACAAAACCAAGATGGATTCAGGGGTTATTGCCCCTGTCAAGAAACAAAAAGGTCACCCCCCCTGCCCCCAAAAAAAACCTTTTCCAAAAGTTTATGTTTTTAAAAGGATTGTAATGACATGTGATAGAAAAAAGATTTTGAGGAGAAAATAAAAATTATACTGCCATGTTTTGTCCAACAAACATCTTCCTTGTGGCTGGATACTTCGAAGAGCTACTGCCAGTTGACATGGTCTTTGTCTTCGTATGTCAATAAATACAGATGGGAATGCATATATTTATGCTCATATATATATTCATACATATGTATCTGTATGTGTTTCATATATGGCATTCATAACATTAGTTATATACATATCACCCCTGTAAGATGCATGTATATGTGACATCTATGTATGAGAATAAAGTAACAATATACATATGTATTTATGTGCACAATATATGAGTCATCCATAAAGCACTTACCTTGCACAGTGTAAATATTAAAATAAACCTTGCTATTTTAGAGAATAACATTGCAACAGGTCCGATAATATTACTAACATTGATAAGTAATAGAAAAGTTGACATAAGACAATTAGTAACTTTGGTGCTATGTACACACAGGACCGAGAATATGAGAATTTGCTGATATAAAGGGATAGTGGTTATGGCCGTGTGATAAATTGTGAGTTAAAATTGTGCTACATGACATGAAAGGATGTTTGAAATTAAAGAGAATGTGGTTTGCCATCATCTGGATCAGGCAAGCTGCTCTTTAAGGCAGTCCAAAGCCACAGTGTTTGTTGGAATTCTGGGAAGGAACACAGAAGGGTGGGTAGGACTTCTGAAACCGCAAAGTGCCTTTAAATATCAATAGCAGCCTCAAAAAAATGCACTATAGCCAGTCACTAAAAAGTAAAGGACTACAAATAACATTATAAGTTGAAATATTAAGGCTTTTCATGTATAAACATGCATTACTTATTTAAATGGATTAGAAAAATTCTGACTCTACTAAACTGAACTGCCAAAATATTTATCTATAGAAAAAAAAAATGAGGTGTATTAAACATATTTAAAAGTTTTATAATTAATTTTAATTCACTAAACCAGATATTATTATTTCTTTAATCACAGCATTGAGATATATAGGATCAAGTATTAAGGTAGCTGGAATAATAATAATAATAATGATGAGTTTTTACCAATCCCCCAAGGATGAAGAAGACCATGAAAAGGCGACCAAGGGTTGTTTTTGCATAAACATCTCCATAGCCAACAGTGGACATTGTAACCATCAGTAAATAAACACATTCCCAATACGTTAGCGGTTGATTATTTTGGAAATTTTCCCATGGATCCCCTGAGTTCTCCACCTAAAATGTACAAGAAAACACATAATGGATTAATAGTGTTGTACCACAAATTAACTCTACTGATATATCTGTGTGCACGCGCGCATGTATATATATAATTTAGCATATAATATAAACTCTGGATCCTTTCCTGTGATTTATTTTGAACAAATACAGAACCTAACCCAGTCCCAATTACAGCATTATAGTTCTTTTGCCAATATGCATAGCCTTGCCACTCATACTATTTATGGAAAATATCTTTTCCATTCACCACTGAATAATATAACTTACTAATGCAGCTAGGTAAGTTCATTTTATAGCAATTTATTCAGAACTTTTTCAGAATGAATCTTACTTGTAATGCAATTATACTTAATGTTTGTTTTAAAACATTATGTAGCTATTAAAGGCATTAATGACATGTTAAGTCACTATTACTTTTCCAAGAAGCCAGCTACTGTATGTGACAAAGTTATAAATTTATCAGTGGGAAAGGAGCAAGCCCTCTAAAATTTGTTCCACAGTACAAAGTTTGAAGTTTGAGGATTCCTACAGTAGAATAGAGAAACTTATGCTGAAAAGCAACAACAACAACAAAAAAACAACCCACAAAATCCAAGCCCTAGAAAATAGCATTTTTAGTTCAAAAATATAAAAAGCTAATGTTTCTATGATAAAAATGCTCTATTTGCCCAGAGGAGTGTAAAAATGTGATCATCCATGAATGAGAAGTATATCAGAAACGAAAACATCCAAAATTTAGGTGCATCTTTATAAGAGTGAAAATTAAATTACTATCTGGTGTCACAAGAAGATAAACATTCTGCATTTAATCTTATATAGCTGGATGCAGCCCAAGGTAATTCAAGTGAAGCCAATTAAATTGCTCTGGACTAACATCAATATCATTAAATTATAATATAAGTCCCAAACCATTCCTGAATAACTTATTACTGCTAGCACCTTGAAATTTTCCTGATTCTAAGTTGATCATAAAATGTACTTAACGGACAAACACTTAACCATATTTAATTACCAAACAAATCAGTAAAAGCTATTAGTTTAAAATGTTTAAAATACACAACTGACATATACCTATCATATATATGCATATTCACATTTATGAACTCATATGTACTTTTATACTAACTATCTTACATTTTCCAGGTATTGTTAAGTTCGGAATAAAACTCTATTACAAAAATCTATGTTACCAGTGAGTGAAAGCTACATCAAAAAATTTGAAATTTAGAAACAAAAGAGAAGGAAATAAGCTCTAAAAAATTGCTACCCGGAATGCTAGCAATCCCATTACTTCCTGTGGAAATACAGAACTGCTTTCTTCTGGCACAACCATTGATTTCCCAGGACCTACCTCAGTATTATTTCAGCTCTGCCAACCCCTTCCAGGAAGCACTCCGGATAGTTATTTAGGAAACATTGCCACCTACTGGTAAATTGTAATCATTCAAGAAGTTGCATCAGTTCAAGTCTCATATTTTATTGCTGAAGTTAATGATGTATTACTTACTATCCAGAATTAGTTTTGAGTAGAAGCCTAAAATTCGGGAAGTTGTGATATCTTTTTTTATTGTACTCTATAGATGTGTTAAGGGATTATCCAGAGCAAGGCAATTTCAGGTAATAAAGTAGCTCAGAGAACAGATGATCCATGAGAAAAAGTCAGTGAAGTATTTTCAAATATACTTACCAAATGTATGAACCCAGCTGCTGTCAGCCACGTGCTGATAAATATAGAGCACAGATTCACTAGCTTGATGGAATTACTGAAAATACACAAAACCCAACAACAAATAGGAACTTAGACTGGAATTTATCACACATTTTTAATATGTACCTGTACACAACTGCATACTTTAGACTGAAAGAGTCTGATGATGATTTCTGAAGAGATGCAGGCTGCCTAAAACAATTAATCAAAAGCCTATGCAAAATATGTATGATTTTGTTTTTGCAGAGTTCACATTTGCATAAATAGCTTGAAAAAAAAATTCCAATGCATTTGAGAGCTGAAAGACAAATGGAAACCTTAGCTACATCTGTACTCATAATCAAACAAATAGAAATAAACAGTGCTTTTTCACAAATAATTTGGTTGCCTCTCAGTACGCTCACGTTCTCATTTTTCATTGCTATATACCTCAGCAATTATTTACATGTAAATATTCTGCTACCTGGAATACACCCATGCAGGTCCAATGAATTAAACTGAGCAACGCCAATTAACATTAGCTGCTGAACACTGCATTTATATGTACAATTGACTGATATTTTTTGAATTATTTCATTTTTGGTTAGCTTGTATGCTTCTTCTATATTCATTGTGCTTTTGATCCCAGACCTGTGGCCACTTTAAAAACTAACAGCAAGAGGACGCTTTTGTTGCATATTCACCACGTTAACACTTGC